ATTCGAGTCCTGTTGTGGAAGAAGGCAATTGTTTAGGCTTTTGCAAAATAAAAAGGTCTGTCTGAGCAAGCCAACTAACAATGCCCGTGTCTTGGGCCGCCAAAGCCATGTGACTCTTCAACACCCCTGTGGCCAACAGCTGCTACCTCCTCCCTGACCAAGCCTTTGACCAATACCACACCCACACCCAAGCTGCATGCCCAGCAGGTTTGGGCAGAAGACAATTGAGAACCTGGAGGTGCTTCTGGCTTGCAGAGGTTACCCTTAGAGGTCTTTCAAAAGATGCACAATATCCTAATGACTTTGGCTGAGTGTCTAGCCCTGAGAGTGGCCAGCTCTGTATCGCCAGCTGCCAGTGGGAAAGAAGATCCCAATCCAAAGAGCAAGAAAGAAGGGCAAGGTCCTAGGACCCCTCTCTCCACACAGGGCTTTTCTCTCAGCAGTCACACATGCTTGTAGCCCTTTCCATAGACTCCAAACCTCCTCCTCCTCCTTTAGTCCCAGCTTGGTCCCCATGGTAACAGTTGGCATCTATGGAGCATCTATTATGCCAGGTACCATGGCAAGTGCTTACTTGGACTATCTCATTAAATTTACACAAGAACCTTTTTAAGGTAGGCACAATTCTTCCCACTGTAGCGATGAAGAAACTAAAGTCACTCACCCTAGGGATCCAGCTAGTAAGGAGTGTGACCAGGCCTGGAACTCAGGTCTGGCTGGCCCCAGAGCCTACACTGCCCTACCTGTCTTCCACATACTGCAGCCACAGGGCTTGGTGATCATCAGACTCAGCTCTCAGCTGGTAAATGAGGGAACCTGGAGCTCAGAGAGGAAGATTGGCCTTGAGCCCAGGGCTAAGAAAAGTAGAGTCATTGAGCACAGCAGCTCCTGACTCCTGGCCCAGGGGCTCTGCTCTCCTCCCCATGCCTGGGCTGGGAAGCCTGGGCTGTCTCCCCTGCTGCTCTGTCTGTGCAGAACTGAGTTGGTCTCAGCCCAGGGTCCATTCTCCAAGTCTTGTTCTTCTTACTGAGACTCTGAGATTAGACTGGGTCGTGATTTTCTGAAACCCTGAGCAAAGAAGCTGAGATCAGAGAAGAGGGTTGGAACCTTATTATGACCTAAGGCACAGCGAGCTCTAATTTGATCTAAAAATAGATTGCTTTCCAGTGTGAGTAAAATTCAGGGCTTGGCTTACTCCAGGCCTCTGGCTCCTGGAGCACCCCCCACCCCCGGCCAACTTATGGGGAGACAAGGAGCTTTCCCCACCACAGCACACACTTCGGAAGCTTACTGTACACTTTGCCTTTGGGTCACAGACTTTTTTGTTTTAAAGATGACAGATAACTAGTGCCATTAGCAAGCTGTACCCTGGGCAGCTCTCCATTTTCTCCGATAAAAAGTGAAATAAATGAAAACAGTTGCTTAAAAAACATCTATAAATGGGTGGGAGCCAGTTGTCATTTTCCCCTTCCTCCTCCCCCTCCTCCTCCTTTAACTGACTTAATGAGGATCCAAGCTGAGAAGCGCCCGCTGCAAACAGCTGGTAGCATGGTGCCTTAAATAGCCCTGGCCACGCTTCCTCTTGGCGGCACACAGTTTGCCCTAGCAGGGAAAGCCCGGGACACACAGGAAACTTTAGAACTTTCTGGAAAGGAAAGAGATGCCTCTCAAACCTGCTCCCTCTTGCTAAGGACCTTTTTGTGTAAGGAGCTGGCAGACCCTTTCCCCTGGAAGCGTCTGAGAAAAAAGCTGAGCTGGTAGACTAGCAGGGCCCTTGGTACTCAGGCCTACGAGGGGTTGTAGAGGACTCCGCTGGGAGATGGCAGCCAGTACCATTCACTCACCAGGCACGTTGTGGCCCTGGTGTAGATTAACTGCAGCTTCTCCCCAGGGCCCTCAATTGTCCAGGAAGGCCCCACTCCACGGTGCCCTTGAACTGCAAAGCAAAAGCTTTACTCTCGACCTCTGACCCTCAGAAGGGCCACTAGGCTCTCACAGTGACTGCTGGGAAAATAGCAACCACTGAAACACATAAGAAATAAATGTCCCCCATGTCTGGGCAGTAGCCAACAGTTGCCATACATTGTCACATGGCAGTATCACCCCCACTCACCACAGGGGACTAGAGCCCAGTGCAATTCTTGGCCCACCCAGCCCATATATGTTCAGGATTCCTTCTACATCGCAGCCATGCCTTCCCTCCTCCCCTCAGTGCATTAAGGAGGATTGTGGCCTAGTGTGATCACCGCCAAGGGCTTTGAGGTCCTAAGTGAAGGTGACAGCTTGACTGACACTGGGCTTATCAGGAGTGGATGGAGGAGGGTGCTTTGTCTTCCTCACTATTGTTGGCACAGGTTGAAATTTAAGAATGGACTCTTTTTCTTCAGCTCTACCTAAATATTGCATTTTGGGGCTTTTAGGGGCTGTTCTCTCTCCTGCCTTCTTAAAGTGTATAATGGATGTGCTTTCACTGCTCCTTGCAAACTGGTGGCTATCACAAGCTACATTAATTAAAGCCATGACCTCACCAAGTACTTTCTATGGACAGCATGCTCAGCCAGGCCAGCTCACTGACAGGAGGACACACGCCCATCTTCCAGGGCCCAGCAGTGTAGCCTGGCAGACAGGATGTGTGCACATGGGGGCCATTGCCCTGGAAGACTCACAAAGAATGTCTGCGTGCAGGAGGGAGCTGTTTGGTAGCCAGGGAAGACTTAGAGAGCAGGGCATCTGGCCTGAAGGTGGGCATAGTGCAGAGGTGGAAAAGGCACCAGGAAGGTGGGGCAGGTGATCACATGGGGCCAGGTATGTAGACTGGGGCTCATAGCCTGGACCACGGATGGGCTTCAGGGGCCCCTGACATCCTCCACTTGCATACCATATGTGCATTGTAGGACAGGGAGTCCCACCTGCCCTTTTTCTAGGGAGAGGATTCTTCACTTTCTTAACTTTTCAAAGGCTATGTATCTTTAAAAACATAATAGAAGAAAAGAGTAAATTTTGTTTAAATGAATTGGAGTCTCTGGGAGCCAGGCTGAGAGTTTGGGGAGCATAAGGTCTTGGTCAGAGTGGTTATCTAAACTATACTCCAAGGGAGTCATCCAACTGCAGAAGAAAGACAAGGCAGACCTGGGTCCCAGGGAGGTGAGCTTCCGAGACAGTTCTATAGACGGGTAGCAAGGGTGTCACCAAGGATAAAGGGTGTCACCATGGGGGACACATGAGGGGAGAATCTTGAGAGTGAATTCAACACGCAGGTTTATAGCGAGCCATGGAAACTGGCTGGAAAGGCAACAGACCAGAGTGACTTCCAGGTCCTCTGTGGTCCTGGAATGTCCACAGTGGTTGGGACCTTGGAACTGAAAGTTGGGAGAGGACGAAGGGCCAGAAACCAGGCTGGAGTGTGCTCTGCTGAAAGTGATGAAAATCTGCAAGTAACTATGACCTTGACCTTGCTCTGCATGAGGGAAATGAGCAGCAGGAAAGGACAAGCCCAAGGAAAGGTAGCATCTGGGAGGAGAGAGGGAAGAGAGAGACAGGAGATCTGTGATATTTAACGTCACAGAAATTTACAGGGAAAGAGCATCCAGAGAGAGCAGCCAACGTTTAAATGCTGCAGAGAGGCTACGTGGAGGCTTGGGCTCTTGGCAAGAATTTCAGTTGACTTGTAGGGGAGGACAGTTAGGTGTCATTTGCTCAGGTCTAGAGATACCCCCAGGGGAACAGAGTTGTGAGGGACTCTGCCCTACACCACAGGATCCTTGTTTGAGCTGTGATTCCTGAGCAGTTTTCTGTTCTTTTTTGCTGGAAGGTTGTGCCTTGTTGCTTCTTGATGTTTAGTCAGATCTGCTTCCTGCCTTTCGGTTAGCTCCTCTATGCCTAATTTGGTGTGCTAATCTACTGAGAGCCAGAGCCTGGGAACCAGGCTTATTAGAACCCTATTCTAAATAAAATAGACTATGTGGTGCTGAGACTGACAGTCCTTCCTGGTAGCCCTTCTTAGTTCTTATCAGTGTTCTGGGAAGGCAAGATTACTGGGTGAGCTGCCTCTGGACACACAAGGGTGACTGATTATATGGGAGTTAGTGGAAGGATTGGAAGGCAGGGCTGGATGACCAGGGGCCCAACCCCCACCTCTGCAGCTCCCTCTTTCCCAGCAAACCTCTGTTCCTTCTGTGTCCTCTGCCCAGAATGCCCGCCCCTGCCCTTCACTGACGGCCCACATGGGTCCACAGTGCCTCCAGAGTTGCTCTCATGCCTGTGTGTGGTGCTTCTGTGTCTGCCACCTCCTGTAAGCCGAGATCTCCCAGGTGGCAGAAGCAGTATGTGGGTTGTCTCATCACCTCAAACAGTACCTAGCACAGAGTGCACTCACTCTGGTGTCCTGGCGTGGAATGTAAACCCACTTCTACAGATTAGAAGTGCGGGTGTCCGAAAGACCGTGTGGTCTGCCCAGATCCTACCACATCTTTGGGGAAGGTTGTCTTGATACCCAGCCTGGCTTTCTTTCCAGTAGGCCAGACTGCGTATGTGTGTGGAGATAAATGCAGACCATAACTCACTTAGGAATTCTTATTAGACCCTCTTTCTGTTTATGAAATTAAAAGTCCAAACGAGGGAAAATGCCACCCTGCTGGCACTTCAGATCACTGAAATAATAGGTGGTCAAAATGGTCACTGCGTTTTATAGCTTGGATTAGGCCCTGTCTTTGTGCTAGGAAGGGCAGCAGAATCTGCGTACTGATGCCTAATGGAATTGGCAGCCAGGAAGGCCTGCTACAGGTCTTTTAAATATCCCTGAGAGATAGTGCAGTGGCGAACTGCATGTTCCTCCCTTGGAAAAATCCAGAGGGCTTTGCATCAGCAGAGGAGGAAAATCCAACCCAAGATGCATGAACAATAAATAACAACTGTTCTGAGTTAGGTTGAAAGCTCAGAGTTGCACTTTTTTCCAAGTTGTTTGTGCTAACCACAATTTTTTCTCCCCTCTTTCCCACCAGGGCTTATTTCAAAACCTTTGTCCCTCAGTTCCAGGAGGCTGCATTTGCCAATGGAAAGCTCTAGGAAACACCAGTGTTGAGAGGCGGCCAGCCAGACTGCTGGGTCCCCATGCATGTCAGCACACAGGACCACTTCCTGGAAGCCACTTGGATGGAATGTCTTCATGGCAGTGTTTTGCTCACACAGCAGCTCTGCACACTTCAGATAGCCCCACTGTGCTGGAGCCCAAACTTGAGCTGAATCCTAGCGCCCCCTCACTACTGGTTGCTCCCTTTCTTTCCTTCATTATATTTCTTAGCTGGAAGAAATAAATTCACAAATCAGAATGCAGTAATTTTCCAGGGAAAGAAAGATGTCATAAATGCACACACCCTTCTTCCAAGTCTTTCTTTGTCTTTGAGACTTCCTTTAAGTTTTAACACCCCTTGGCCTTCTTTTTTCCGTGTGTGTGTGTGTGTGTGTGTGTGTGTGTGTGTGTGTGTGTTACACCCCAACATTTCCATTTAGGGCAGTCCTCCTAGAAAAGGAGGTGCCTGAAAGAATCTGATCTTGCAAGATTCTGCCACCCAGCCAGGCCCAAGGCTAGTGCTTAGGAATTGATGGTTTCTAGGACACCTCCCCTCTCCCTCTCCCCAACATCCTGGTCCTGTGTGGAGCCCCTGTGCACAGTCCACAGCCCACAGCCCACATGGGCAGTCATTAGAGTTTGCTGATTGTCCTGATCGCCCTTCCATCTCTGCCCACCCCCTCCCTAGGTTCATCTTCGGAGCTCTTTGGGCTTTTGTAGCACTGTGCAAATCACACCTGGAAAACAAAGGTTGAGGGTCATGGGTTATCACTGGCCTGTATCTAATATCTGGCCTCAGGCCTGGCAGCTCTGCAGCCAGCTAGGATCAGAAATGGAGAAGATCTCTGAACAAGCTCCATTTTTTCCTAGACTTACATCAGGGCTGGAAGGGGCCTCAGAAGCTATCACATTTCTACCCCATCCCTTACCACTCCCATCAGTGTACAGAAGGGTGAACCCAGTCCCAAAGGCACCAGAAACTGTCATAGAAAATGAGGAGCAAACCTGGGTGTTTGTACCAGCCTGCAGCTTCCCCTCAGGTTGCACCAAGTGGGATACAGTCAGCTTGACTGCTTTATGGGCTGCGCAATTTGTTTCAGTATGGCTCTATCCTAAAGGGACTTTCACCCCAGAGAAGGACCTGCCCTTAGAGGGGAGAGAAGCAACTGGACCTGACCTGCCAGGCTCTCTCTCCACCTACAGCCTTCCCTTCCATATGAAGTGGTGGCCGCTCTGCAGGACATGCACAGGTTTAGCTGGGCCTCTCACTTATTTCCTCAGTCCCCTGATGGCTCTAGAGCCCAGTTTTACCACGTGAACCCAAAAGAGAATGGACTCTAGGCCTTGTGGCACCAGTGAGAGTCCACACACTTGTATCTGATTTCCCCACTGTGTCCCCAGCACCAGGAATGTTCTCGGGCCAGAAAAGCACTGGGTCAGACCTCCCTACTGGGCTGCCAGCTGGGAAGCCGCTTTGCCCCTACTCCAAAGTCTTGGCTATTTCCAGGACACAGAGCAGTCCTGTATCCTATGTCCACATTCCTGCTCTGCCATCTACCAGCTGTGTGGCTCAAGTCTTTTCCTCTCTGTAATACAAGGAGTTGGGCTAGCTTTGATCATGGACTTGGCTCACCAGAATCCTCCACAGAGCTTTTTAGAAACTCCTGCACTGCTTCCCACTGCAGACCTATTGCACCAAGGTCACATGAACTGAAGTGTAGGCACCAGGATTTTAGTGAACCTCTCCCAGGTGATTCACACTGCAGTCTGTTCTGACTGTGCCCAACTGGCTGCCCACAGAAAGGTGCTCAGGGCAGCTTTGTGCCAGGCTCTGAGGCCTTCCTCTAAGGCTCCATGGAATGGTCCCTTACGATTGCTCTGGCCATGGAGAAACCTGCACTGGGCTCTGTTGCCCGCCAAGTCGAGAGCTAATGGAGCCAGGGCTTGCTTCAGACTTGGCAGACATGTCCAGTTCTGGTTCTATCAGATGATAGCTGGCAGTGTGGAATGGGTGTGGTCAGTGAACTTGACCCTCAGCATTTCAAATAGCCACACAGCAATGGCAGCAGCCAGTAGCAGGCCATGTGAGCTGTGCCCTGCCAACCTCCAGGGGTCCACACATACGCAAGCTGGCCAGATAATTAATGCTACCCTCTCACATCAGTGAAGCAGGCACAGTCTATCCATGAGATGCTAGCACAGACACAGGCACGGAGTGTCTTTACAGCAGACCTGTAATGTCAGTGGGTGACTAGGGTCAGTCCTATCCTCCAGATGAGGAAACAGAATCAAAAAGTTTAAATGAACAACCCACAATCACCAGCCAGGCAGTGGCAGCATCAGGACTGAGCCCAGATTCCTGGCTCCCAATTTGGCACCACCTGTCACATTCATCCATGGCTCCAGTGAACACAGCGGGGCTTATATTTCTTCCCCAGTGAGGAGTGATGTGCTATATAGAAGTTTATGGGGAGGGAGAGTATGTAATTTTAAAATAAGCATTCATTCAGGCAGAGGGTTTGGGCAGTTTTCTTAGGGAGAACTAAACAACAAAAAGGGATAGTAGCTACTTTCTATTTCAGATGCCAGGGTTTTAAACACCAGGGTTTTGTGACTTTATCCCAGTAACAGAAGCCAGTGGTACTTGGCAATGGATGAGGGTCCCCTGCATATTTTTAAATACTTCTTGCTGGCTTCGCCTGTCATCAAGCCTTGTACCTGAACAGAGTGCAGCCCAGGACTAATTAGTAAATGGCTATAAAATGCTTTCAAGATGAGAAGTGCCATAGAAGGAGGCACATTGCTACCTCATAAATCCTGTCTCCAGCTTACTCAGCCCTTCTAATTTAAGTCAAATCTTCAGCTCAGCACAGGCAAGGAGAGGGGACTCAGATGTGTTTGCTAATAATTCTTGTATGTGATTGGGCATCCCCTGTGGGAGGGGTATAGGAGACCCTGGTTACCCAGTGTTCGCCCATCTTCTAGCAGCATGGCTTCCCATAGCACAACATAGATGGTGGCCATTATTCTGGGACATAAACTGGAAAGGGTGTGAGCCTCAGGATGAGAGCCTCATATTTGAATCCTGGGTCTGCCCACTTAGTAGTTGGTAAATATCTAACAACCAGATCTTCTCTGGTTTAAAAAAAAGAAGGGGGGGACCCTGACTGCTTGGCAGTTTCCATGGCATAAGTAGCCCCACCATGACCAATTTCAAGCCACCAATGTGAGGTCACTGAATGCAGAGTTGGGAAGGGTGGGCAGTGGTGAGAAATCTGCTGGGGGAACCAAACGCAGCCTGTGTCTTTGCTTAATCTTGCATTTTGTTATCTTCATCTGTAAAATGGGAATAAGTGCCGGTCTCTGAGGATTGGGAGAATTAAGTGAGAACAGGCTGTAAAGCACCCTAGTGCCTGGCACACAGTAGCATTCAATAAACAGTGGCAATGATTCCTGCAGACCAGAGAAAGGATTCTCTGGTGTTGACTTTGGCTTTTTTCTCTAAAGTCAGAATGCCCCTGTTAAAAAATCCTGCCAATGAATGTGGCCTTTGGAAGAGTGACCCTGTCTGGATTAACAGGAAGACAAAAAATGATGAGTCATCCTGAGTTCTAACAAATGAGAGATGAGATGCACTTGTGGGAGTCCCCCTCCTCTCCCCCGCCACCCCCACCCCATACACTGGTCTTGCTTTAACTCAGCAGGACTTCTGGGCCTTGCTGAAGAAGCACGACCCAGTGACCTGCTTCTTCTCCCAGCCCCTGCTTTCCCACAATAAGAAAATCAGAGCAGTGCAGTTCACTTTTGCCTCTGACTCAGTTTCGGTTCCTGATGGCTACAGACTCTTGTTGTGGAGTCACAGCCTTGCCAGAGCAGTGACCACACTGGGTTTGCCTCTTGAGTGGGCGTATAAATAGAACAAGCACCAGAACCTGCCCAAGTTCCTGGGACAGGCCCTTCCCACAGTTTTTGACGCTAAGGTTAGAAACATCATTTAAGGGTAAGATGCCATCTAACTCTATGAGTAGCATAATTAATTCATTAATTCTTTTACAAATGGTCGTTCTTTTACAGAACTATCACCTTTCATTTATGTATCTGTAGCACTTACGTATGGTGCTGGTAGAATAAAACTTAAACGCCAACTAGAAATAGGAGGCTAATAGGCACATTGTCTTTTTTAATCCTAGGCACATTTATCCTCAAAACAAGTAACTGAGGTAGGTGTTTATCCCCCCCATTCTTAACTTAAAACACTCAAAGTTAAATAATTTACCCAAAGACATGAAGCCAGTATATTACTCATTCACCCATTCTACTTTCTCTTCTTACCTCTTCCCCTCCTTTCCCTCCCTCCCTCCTTGTCTCTCTTTTCTATTCCTTATAACACAAGAATTTGGTCCGGGTCCCTGTTTCATTTTGCTTCACAATCCAGCTTCCCCCAGTGCAGGAGATTCAGTGAACATCTACTGTGTCCAAGCCCCTGTGTACAACGTTCACATACAGTCATGGCAGATAACGTTTGTGGTGGGGGTTCCACGTGATTATACCGCCTATGATGTTGTACCCATCTTAGTTCGTGGACTCACTCTGTGATGTTCACACAACCACGAACTCATCCAACAATGTGTGTCTCAGATGTGTCCCCATCCTTAAGCGACTCATCACTACTCATTTTTGCCATTTCCCATGTGAAGGGAGGGCCTGGAGTGGAAGGGCCTGGCCAATATCACATGAAGCTGGAGTCAGGCCCAGCTCCACTGGCTCCATTGCCAGACTTGCCAACTCAAAGGTACTTGGAGCTGCAGATGTAACTCAGTGGTAGAGCTGAGGGTAGCATGTACAAGACCCTGGGTTCAATCCTCAGCATGGCAAGATGAAATAAAAATTAAAAAAAAATTTTAAAGGTATTTTGAGACAGTCTTTGTATATGTGGATAGGATATTTATGTGGCTACATAAATATTGTAAAAATGCCAGCTTATTCTCAGATAGTTGAGCCTGGGCCAGCCAACAGTCGAAAAAAAAAAATGACTTCAAAGTTTATACTATATTTGCAGGTTAAAGTACAAAACACATCTGACTGAAATAATGGCTTACTATCTGAACAAAACAAGATGAAAATAGTTGTTACAATTATTAAGGAAAGTTACCAAGCTACTACCAAACACAGTGTGAGGTCCGTGAACTGATTCCAGGATAAATATGAGATAACTCCAGGAGGCCTGAAGACATGTTTTCCTTTACTAGGGTTATGGAATTTACCCTGTGCTATTCTCTTGATCCCTTTGGAAGAACCACATT